ACATATTTGTAGTTACATTTCAGGTCTTTATGAACGCTTGTGATATGCGCAAACAAATCTAAACAGTTAAAAAATAAAGTGTTCCTAACCTGTGGTTCTCATCCTACAAAAACGAAACAGCAAAACTGCAATTGCAACCTCTTGAACCCCTCTGTTGTCAGCGTACGCCAGTACGTTGATGCCAACGATTTTGAACGGAGCTTCAGCCTACTGCTTAATTGTATGGATGATTTAGGGGACTGTCCGTGAGTCCCCCGACATGGGGGCACGACGTCATCATCATCGTCTTCCACAACGACATGGAATTTGGCATTCTTGTCGATAACTCCCAATGCTTGTGGACACAATTAACGTGTTTGTCAGCATCATAATGGCGTTGAGATATGTACACGGTTTCATGCATGTTGGTCGTGATATACTTTAGTAATTTGTTTGGGATTATAATTGCGTTAAGGTTTGACGTAGGCGATTACAATTGACGTAATTTTTGCTTCATCGTTACTACTTTGAATTATGTATTAGACATATTTTTATCTGTCCGACCCCCTCCCCCCTCCCCCACGCAATTTAATCGTATAGCTCATGTTCAATTATTTTGTTAATGTCAAACAGTGAAAATATTCTGTATTTATATTTTCTATAAAGAATATAGAGATGGGAGTTCAAGCGGGGTAAATGTGATGTGTCAAAGCTGGTGACTGAGCAGTTTCAAATCCGACATATTTCATTGGGCGTAGTGGTCAAAAACAGATAGATACAACGCTGTTTCATAATATAAAGGCAATATAAAAAGACGAGGGAACGGAGAGAGTGAGAGAGCGAAAGAGAGATAGAAAGAGAGAGAGAGAGCGAAAGAGAGATAGAAAGAGAGAGAGAGAGCGAAAGAGAGATAGAGAGAGAGAGAGAGCGAAATAGAGAGATATATAGAGAGAGGGAGAGAGGGAGAGAGAGAGAGAGAGAGAGAGAGGAGAGAGAGAGAGAGAGAGAGGAAAGAGAGATAGAAAGAGAGAGAGCGCGAACGAGAGATAGAAAGAGAGAGAGAGAAAGAGAGAGAAAGAGAGAGAGAGTGAGAGAGAGAGAGAGAGAGAGGAGAGAGCGAGAGAGAGGATAGAGAGAGAGAGAGAGAGAGAGAGAGAGAGAGAGAGAAGAGAGAGAGGGAGAGAGAGGAGAGAGAGAGAGAGAAAGAAAGAGAGAGAAGAGAGAGAGAGCGACAGACGAGATAGAGAGAGAGAGAGAGAGCGAAAGAGAGATAAATAGAGAGAGAGAAACAAAAAGGGAGAGAGAGTAACGAGGCCATCAAACTCTAAAGACTCTCAACCTACTTTTCAGCTTTAGTAGAGTTGTCGGTGCTAAATTGAGTTTGGTCAGATCGTTGTAGAGTGTTATTGTAAACGGTACGTTTAGCTCTCTGCTCGCTTAGAAATACACACTTCAAGTCGATTTCTATTGTGTTCACTGGTCGAATTACTTTGCCATATATGCCTTGAATAGACAGGAAGATTAAGTCATCGTGGTGGTGCGTCATTCAATTTAGAGGTGGTAATTGTGATTTGAAACCTTTAACTGGCTCATTTACTCACTTGTAAAGAGTGCGTGACGTTTGTGATAACACCATGCACTTGATAATTGTCTAGACACACGCTCACTCACTCACTCACTCACTCACTCACTCAATAGCAAGCAATTTCTCACTTTCATGGACAATGTTTGAAGTCCATTAATCCCGAAAATTCTTCGTTTTTCATTTGTAAACTTCTCCGATTTATAAGAGTCTCAGACACCCAAGTAAATTTGAACCTTAAACATGTGGCTACCAGTAGAACATGATTGCATATCCTAATCGCGAACACCCGGTGTCTTAACTGAAAGCCAGCGATCGATTCATCAATATTGACTTTGAGTCCAATGGAACTTATTTGGCAGACAAATGCCACTGAATATCTGGTGGGACCGTTTTGAATTTACTCACTAGCTACACAGTGTGTGTGTGTGTCTTACGCCGCCTTCAGCAATATTCCAGCAATATCACGCCAGGGGACACCAGAAATGGGTTTCAAACATTGTACCCATGTGGGGAATCGAACCCGGGTCTTCAGCGTGACGAGCAAACGCTTTAACCACTAGGCTACCCAACCGCCCTTCTCACTAGCTACAGAATTGCATGACATCATATAACAGTATTCATGTCATAGTATTTCATTTCTCACAGGGGGCGGTGGGATAGCCTAGTGGTTAAAGCCTTGGCTCGTCACGCCGAAGACCCGGGTTCGATTCCCCACATGGGCACAATGTGTTAAGCCCATTTCTGGTGTCCCCCGCCGTGATATTGCTGGAATATTGCTAAAAGCGGCGTAAATCTAAACTCAGTCAGTCAGTCATTTCTCACAGCGATTTAATCCAAACTCACTCCCCAAAAATAATTACCGGGAGTTTATATACTCATGCCAATAATGGTTGTCACCCTCCCCACCCCACCCCAACCCCACTAACACCTCACACTCACCCTCACACCCCTTTCCAATTAAAACAATTGAAGGGGGTGACAACCATTATTGGCATGAGTATACTATCGCATACAGTAGGGGAATGAGTGAATATAGATTTATCGTCACATCGGCAGTTTTTTAGCCATATCGTGTCGAGAGAAAGCCATAAGTCAATGACAATTGTACATCAACAGTATAAAATCCTGTCGTCAGAGGACAGTATAATAAATAGATTATCGCAAAGATATATTTAAATCAGTTTAAGGGTATGTGAAATAAAATTGCAAACGATCACTTGACAAACACAATATAAAGGAGAGGATCGCTAGCAATGGTGGCCCAACTTTCCTTGCTAGCGATCCTCTTGCTCCGTTTTATACTGTGTTTGTCAGGGGCGGTGAGGTAGCCTAGTGGTTTAAGCGCTCGCCCTTCACCCCGAAGACCCGCGTTCGATTCCCTACATGGGTACAATGCGTGAAGCCCATTTCTGGTGTCCCCCGCTGTGATATTGCTGGAATATTGCTAAAAACAGCGTAAACTAAACTCACTCACTGCGTTTGTCATTTGTATAGATAAGGAATTGCCCTTCAGAGCAGATTGATGTCGATTTCATTTAGTTACACACAGAGCTGTTTGTTTGGGCTATTAATAAGGTATTAAACAGCGATAAAGGTTCCTGTCATATACGACAAGGTCGCTAACATCCTTCTGACAATTATTGACAGGTCGGCATACCCTTACGTAAGACGTGGAGTGAAATCTGACCGTGATATTAGATTACCGGTTCGGAGCAGTTATGAGCTGACCTATTACTGTTACGTCAAATCTTAGGACGAGTTTCAAATCAGTCTGTCAAGTCAAAATATAACATGCACTGGAATAATCCATGTTCAAGTATTAGAACAGCGGTTCTTGAAGTGCCTATAACATGCACTGGAACAATCCATTTTCAAGCATTAGAACAGCGTTCCTGTGGTGTAGTGGTGTTCCGATTAATTGAAATAATCGAAGGTTGGTCGCAGTGACCAAACGATCAAGCAATCGATCACATTTTCTCATAATCGAACATAAAAGATTTTGGAACTACTGTTTTAGTCTTTGAAATACTTGACAATGGAACATATCTTAGAAGTTGTCAGGGCCTGAAAACATGTTTATTTCTTAGAAAACTCACTCCACTAACTGAAAAGTCATGACTGAATATTTCTCTAAGACTCCAGGAGGTTTATGTTCATGATATATTAGTCATCACTTTAAAGTAGCAAGTTGCATCATGTTATACTTTTCTGCAGTAACAACCTGGATAGGAAAATCTGAAAAATGACGCTAAACAATTTTTTTCGATGATTGTTCGTTGGTAATGAAGCAATCATCAATTGTGAGATTTCAACCAATTCCCAACACTACTGTGGTGCCTATAACATGCATTGGAACAATCCATTTTCACAGGTTGAATCATGATAGTGATAATCATGATGAGTGCATCATTTCCATACACCCAACAATGTTAGTATTCGCCTTTTGATTTTAAGTATTAGAAGATTGTAAATTAAGAAGTACATTGTTAAAACTCGATTCAGGAAATGAGCCGTACACTATATTTAAGAATGAATGGCAAAAGTCTGTATTGATGATATAGCGTATAACGACCTAGCCTTTCAGATATAACATCTTTCAAATACAGTAGCACTAATGATTAATATGCAAATTTCTCGCTAATATTAGTTTATGTTCCCTAATGTGTACGTCATCTTTTCGCTATCGACATTGGTAGCTTCCCAACCAAATTCAAACCTCCATCTTCATGAACATGTAACTATATAACTTAGAAAAAATCTTTGAAATACAATCTTATTAACCATAAATCTTCAAATCCTCGAGCTGATGTGAGGTAATGTTCCGTCTTTGGAAACTTATCGCCCTGTTTGACACTGAAATCCCTCATCACCACCTCCACTCACATCACCACCCCCACTCACATCACCACCCCAACTCACATCATCATCATCATCTATCCCATCTTCATCCAACGTGAACTACTCTAAATAGTAATTCTTTGAAATGCAATATTATCAATGACTAACTGTACATCTCCGAACTGGTGTGAGTTAACGCCCAGTCATGAGTTTATCACTTTGTTCGTCATCAGAATTCTCTTCTGCACGCTCACCCCCATCATCACACTAATCGCATCATCATCACCTATCCCATCCTCATCCAATGTGAACGACTCTAAATAGTAAATCTTTGAAATGCAATATTATCACCTACCCCAGTTTAACATTCGTCACCTACCGAGTTTAACATTCGTCACCCACCAAGTTAAACATACATCGCACCACCCAGTTAAACATTCGTCATCCCACCCAGTTAAACATTCGTCACCCACCCAGTTAAACATTTGTCGCACCACCCAGTTAAACATACATCGCACCACCCAGTTAAACATTTGTTTCACCACCCAGTTTAACAGGTTCTTGTAACACAAGCAAAGTTTGACAAAGTTTCACCTACCATAGAACCATCCCATTTAGAAGCAGTAGAACACAGACGGAAAAGAAAATCTTCACAGTCTCCATTGTCAGAAGGTCGCGAACACTGTGTCTTGTCTACAGGTGCCGGGTCGTCTGCCTCGGCCGATCTGTCGTCTGCAAGTTTAAAAGTGGACGATGACTACACACCAATCGGTTTTATATCTACAGATTCTGTGACATGCGCGGACGGACCGCTGATCAGGACTCCCTGATCAATACAAGTTCTCAACAGGCGCTACCAAGCTGAATGGAATGAGCAGAGAAAGAGATACCGCTATTGGTTGAACTCTTAGGTCGGTTCCACTGGTGGTAATAGATGCGGACGACAGGTTGATAAGTGTCATTTTGTTGCCTAGTATTTGCCTTACAAATTTCTGCCGAAATGGGGTTTAGTGATAAACAAGTCATAAAACGCTTGGATGGGTCATTGAGGCCTATGCTGATCGCTTACAGTGAAAGCATGGGTGGGATGTTGAAGAAATGTGTCGGAGTATTTGGTAGTAAAAAACCCACGTATGTTAATACCGACATTATAAAATTCACGTCGGTGACGTTGTGATTGGTTTTAACGATGCTGTCGATATCGTTTGTATCAAGCTTTCACAGAAGTGGAGTAAAGTATCGTCTGCTTCTTCCAACAACTGTAATTTAAAGAATCATTAATTTGCGTAAATGATCGAAGCCATATGAACTTACACTGGTTGTAATCAAGCGAGGGTGTTGCTGAGCACGTAACCGTTTTAGTCGTCCCTGAAGAAGTCCATAGCGCCAAAGTTAACAATGGTAGCCATGCTAAGAACATGGTGATTCTCAGACTGGATGACGATATGGTTTTACTGGATGGAATTGGTCTTCATTAACCCCTGTTTGTCGAGGTGAGGTGAAATTGGGTTTAAGGTGGTGCTTGAGAATATTTCGCTCATATGACGACGTGCATGCGTGTGTATGTGTATGTGCGGCTTCTTGTACTAGCCCAGACTTACGCTGGTTTTATAGTGCTAGCCCACTGAGATACCATGCCGCAGTGAAGCATCAATACCCCATTCAGACACATTATACTGACTCCGAGCCGACCAGTCCTTGTTGTACCCATTAATGCCGAGCGCCAGGCAGGGACCAACAAGTACCATATATTTTAACGTCTTTTGGTATGACGCGGTCGGAGATCGAACCCGCGACCTTCCGCTCTCCGGGCGGACGCTCTAACCACTACACCACGGAGGCGGTCACCCTGTTTGTCGAACGAAGCGACTAACTCGATCGGCTTTGTGACGAGGTTGATACGTGGCATCGTATCCCAGTTCCTCAGCTCGACGATCACAATCAGTCAGTCACTGGATTGTCTGGACCAGACTCGATCATATACTACCCATCAAAAGTTTAGACTCACTAGTGTAAATGTAGCCACTTACTTCAGTCAACTGTTCTGAAATAGATTTGCAAAGTATTCCAATACTGTTTAAAGCTACTGTTTACACATGAACTGATGTATTGTAAAACAAATTCGTAACGTTGAAAAGATTATTGTCATGAGTTCACTAAATGATGAAAGTCCGTGAAAATGTGCGAATTTTTAACAAAACTTTACACCAAAATGCAGCTGTTCCTATGTACGATATTTGTACATGCTTTTCAGCAATTTGATGCATGACCCTCGTACAATTCATCTGCATAAGGTTTACAGTTGGTTCTCCCAAGTTAGTGGAGAAATCAATCTTCGATGTAACCACATATATATATACATAACATACAGTGTGTGCTTTAAGTGAGTCTAAACTTTTGATGGGTAGTATATATTTTAACCACAGTCACTGGATTGTCTGGTCCAGACTCGATCATATATTTTACCGTCTGTGGCTTTGAACGGCAAACACTCAATGCATTTCTTAGTTTTACTCCACGAAAATCATATTTGCTTAGATTGGTACTCATGACATCCATCACTAGATTGTCTGGTTGGGATTCAGTTATGCACAGCTGTCATGTAGTTGGAATTTTGCTGCTTGTGGACTTCAACCACAAACAAACTTAGGGATTCTGTGCCTTCCTCTAGAAAAATCAATTCTGATATGTGAGAAAACCCATGGTGATGCAAGTTTTACAGTTTAAAATTCTTGCGAAACCGAAAGAACTAGCATGGTGATGACAAACGTTGAGTACAATCGGGACCCAGCGGTATTCGAACCCAAGATCACAGGTTTCCTGCGCGTTACGCACTCAGTAACAGCTGACCAAGCTGGTATTCGATCACAATTATTCTGAACCCGTTTCTGAAATTCATTTTTTATAGAGGCGCGAACGAAACAAATATCTTTTTATACTATAGAAAGTGAGTGAGTGAGTGAGTTTAGCTTTACGCCGCTTTTAGCAATATTTTAGCAATATCACGGCGGGGGAGACCAGGAATGGGCTTTACAAATTGTGGCCATGTTGGAAATCGAACCCGGGTCTTCGGCGTGACGAGAGAAGGCTTTAATTTCTACCCCACCGCCCCTGTTTGAATTATAACTCTCAGTGTAGTCAGTATTGCAACACCCCTAGCCGCACCTGCCACCAGCCACACCCGAACCCCTAGCCGCACCTGCCCCCAGCAACACCCGGACCCCTAGCCGCACCTGCCCCCAGCCATACCCGGACCTCTAGCCGCACCTGCCCCCAGCCACACCCGGACCCCTAGCCGCACCTGCCCCCAGCCACACCCGGACCACTAGCCGCACCTGCTCCCAGCCACACCGAACCCCTAGCCGCACCCCCTAGCCGCACCTGCCCCCAGCCACCAGCCACACCCGGACCACTAGCCGCACCTGCCCCCAGCCACACCCGGACCACTAGCCGCACCTGCCCCAGCCACACCCGGACCCTAGCCGCACCTGCCCCCAGCCACACCCGAACCCCTAGCCGCACCTGCCCCCAGCCACACCCGGACCCCTAGCCGCACCCTATTCGCACCTGGCCCCAGCCACACCCGGACCACTAGCCGCACCTGCCCCCTAGCCACACCCTATCCGCACCTGCCCCCAGCCACACCCGAAACCCTAGCCGCACCCCTAGCCGCACCTGCCCCACGCCACAGCCGGACCCCTAGCCGCACGTGCATTCTACTCCTCCCCACACTCACACCCAAACCTCAGGTGTTTCTGCACCCAGTGCACTTACATTCTATTGAAACTAATGATGTTTACAATAGCCAATGTAAATAACATGAATTATAATTATATTGTGTGCTCTCCACAAAAAAATGCCTCAGAAATCAATGTTGTCAGGCATGATCCATCTTCGTTGTGTCCAGCATGTATTCATTTTCATCCTTCAACAATAAATACATTGACGGATTAGGGAGGTGGTAATTAGAGTTCAGTAAAAAACGTACATGTAAAAAATCAGAAACTAGGCATCTCTCTTTAATCTGAATGTGAGGATGCAGAAAGAATTCTTCTTTGTTTTCCTTTCGTTCATATTGTTTATTTCTTAAAACTCATCCTTGATTCCCCGAGCGTACCAATACACGCTGCTGCAGATCGATTCCATTACGAAACATTGGAGAGTGAGTGAGTGGGTTAGTTTTACGCCGCTTTTAGCAATATACCAGCAATATCACGGTGGGGATACAAGAAATTGGTTTCACACACGGTACCCATGTGGGAACTGGAATCGAACCCGAACGCTTTAACCACTATGCCACCCCACCGTCCCGTTTGCAGGAAGAATCCTTACAAGTGGTTAAATCTTTGGCTCGTTACGTAAAAGAATGGGATTCGATTCTGTCTGAATCCTTGAAAGAACCCTTGTGCAACTTGCGTAATTCGTCGTGAATAAATTGGGAAAAAAGAATGTATTATTATTATTATGTAATTGTAAAAAAAGAATGGCTCTAGGAGATTTTAACATCCTCTTCCAGCATCGTATACCACTTCCAAGCTGGTGAACAGGGGCACATTTTGAACAAAGTCACTTTTTCAGAGTCGCACAAGTTTTGTACAGTTCGCGTGGGTGTTCGTATTCGTGTTTCCACCGTCTAATCATCTACCATTGTTTGAACCCGTGAAGAACTGGGTTAGAATTGATCTTCAGCAACCTATGCTTGTCGTAAGAGGCGCTTAACGGGATCAGGTGGTCAGGCTCGCTGACTTGGTTGACACACGTCATCGTATCCCAGTTGCGTAGATGATCAATGCTCATGCTTTTGATCAGTGGATTGTCTGGTCTAGACTCGATTATTTACAGACCAATGAGCGCTCAGATGACTACTGGCATCGCTTCCTCGCATGAAGCAGTGGTAGCGTTCGCAAGGTGGCCACGTACTGAGTAGAGTTCATTATATTTAAGTGACGAATATCATTTTATGGAATTTCATGTATTAATGTCCACCATATGTTATCCGTCTTTTCGAAAGAACAATTGACTTGCTTTTGCATGTGTCTGTGACGGATGCCAACGATGGGTCAGAATATGTTCACATTATGTTATTTGTTAGACACATGCTGATGACTTGATCGGAATGGTACAATTGCTTTTGGCAGAGATTGCTTATGATGTTTGCCAGTATTAATTGTACACGGCCTAACTTCATTAACTGTCTGAATACAGATGCGAGTCACTGTTACATTGTATACAGGGCTACATTGCATGTATTGACGGCGATGAAGGACCGTAGGGTAATCAAGCGGTGGAGTATTGGCAATAGGCGTGATTTGACCGGCTACGACCTTGAGAACGTAATTCACATGGTTACAAAATTAATGATATCTCACATTCTAGGTGAGGTGTAATGGTATTTACTGTCGAGGTGCTGCTGTTGGTGTGTGTGTGTGTGTGTGTGTGTGTGTGTGTGCGCGCGCGCGCGTTTGGGTTCGTGTGATTGTCTCTTGTTTGCGTGTGTAAGCGTTTGTGTGTGTTTGTGTTTGTGTGTGTATCTGTGTTTGTGTTTGTACGACTATGTCTCTGTGTGTGTTGCGCGCGTGTGTGTGCGCGTGTGTGTGTTTGTGTTTGTGCGTGTGTGTCTGTGTGTGTTTGTGTTTGTGCGTGTGTGTTTGTGTTGTGTGTGTGTTTGTGTTTGTGCGTGTGTGTGTGTGTTTGTGCGTGTGTGTCTGTGTGTGATTGTGTTTGTGCGTGTGTGTTTGTGTTGTG